CCTCATACTACGTTAAATGTCAATAACGCAGTAATTTTTATTTTGTAATTCAGTGATGCAGGTTTTGAAATCTAGCATAACAATCATTACCACTTGTCTATCAGATGTAAATGTTTTAAAAGTAGTAAGTCATTCAATCAGTCAGCCAGTAAGTGAACAATTTATGTAGTAAAGGTGACACTAAATTATAGCAAAAAGGTAATAAATAGGTGAACGATACTGCTGCTGTTGGATTATGGAATGAAGGATATTACTTCATAGGTTTCCGTAAGAAGTACTAATTTTTATCCTAGTGACAAATGTGGCTGGTAGTTCTTCAATGGTATTCCTGCAGAATATGGATGCCCTTACTATTTTAATATTTTTTGTAGGAATCTGATGCTGTGGCTGAATTAAGTGCACTTTTTTCCAGACAAAAGTATAGACACTATCCGAGCAATCTTGGCAGACAGTGGAGGAGATAAAAGTGTGGCTGCATCAAGGCTTATCCAGTGGTCTGCTGGGACATGTAAGCTACCTATACAAGTTTATTACTTAAATGTGAATAATGGTAGATCTCTGAACTTTACCTGTCTGTGATGTTATTACAACAAAGCAGAGGTCCTTGGTATTGTGTAGTGGTAAGGTTGCGTGCATTTTTTTGCTCCAACATAATTATTTTTCTGATTACCATGGAACCCTTCATTGGAGACAGTTATACTTATCTGTTCTTTCATTTGGTTTTGAAATTGTTATTTCATTTCATTTGAAATAAGAGCCCTTCATTCGATTTAGAGGTGCATACTTATAACATGACCTAAGCTTTACAGAGTCTCATAACAGATAATTTACTGAACTCCCCTTTTTTGCAATTTCTTCTGCAAGGTGCCCTAATGAACAGTGGGGACTCAGGTAATGAATACTGTACAGAAGAAGACAGTGACCTCATGCAATCACCATTTGAAGCACATGTATCCTCAAGTACTGTCAGTACCTGTACTGACCCTGTTGCACAGTACAAACAAGAAACTCTGGATGAAAATGGCCCACCACTGAGAATCTATGTAAATCGGATGACGGAGGAGTTCACTGCAGATGTTTTATCCATTTATAAGAAAGCCAACCCATGTTTTCGCTCAAACCTTCGAGTGCAATTTGAAAATGAAAGAGCAGTTGGCGAGGGACCTGTCAGAGAGTTCTTTAGCATATTAATGGGATTTGTTCAAAATGGTCTTTACGTGGATGATCCTGGGCGGCTGACTATGTTATTTGAGGGCCAGACTGACCACAAAATTCCAGTCCCAAATGCGTTACTGTGTAATTCTGGACTGTACACTAGTGTTGGACGGATGATTGCACATTCTTTCTTGCATGGAGGACCACCACTTTATGGACTTTCCCCAGCAGTGCTTGAATTTTGGACTCGTGAAAGCATCAGTGAAGCTGTTACCATGGAGGACATCCCAGATTATGACCTTCGACAAGCCTTGAAGCAGGTACTCGCATTGATGATCTTGTTTTGTACAGACATTACTTACGTATTTCTGTGTAATGTTTCAGCAACATGTTAGTGTTACTAACAATATTTATTCTGGTTAATTTTTGTTTGATATGGCACTTGTACTGTCCTGTTTATATTTGAAAAAAGGCACAAGTGTGTTCCAAATAGGTGTATACATCTATAATGACACTATAAGTTTATAATTTGTCGTAAGAAGCATTTCATTGTTCAGTCACAACACCATAGCAATTTAACGGTTTTGCAGTTATCAAGTCTTGATAAGGATGAAGAACCCTCAGATGCACTTAAAGAATTCCTCTTGCCTTATCGTGATGAAGCGTCAGTACTTCAAGTGCCGCTAAGGGAGAGAAACGGCACTTGGTTCTCCAGCAGATAATGCTGCACAATGTGATCGAAAAGCGCCACCGTGAACTGAAAGATCTTGCTGCAGGAATGAATGAGCTTTCCCTTGTCAATTACCTAAAGGCACACAAGGAAATGGCCGCAGCCGTGTTTCCCAGGGAATGCGAGTCAGTAATTGACAAAGAAGAACTCAAGGGTAGGATTTCCATCGAGGATGAAAACAACCCCCAAGGGCAAGTTATCATGGGATTCTTGCATCGCTTCATCGATGAAGTTAGCAGAGAAGCAGAAGGTAAGTGATTACCTCAGCTATGTCTACTATACGTTTTCTATTCTTCTTCCAGTACCTCTTCTTTCCCCAGTGAATTTAAGCCATTTATCCTTGAGCATTTCATTCCTCAAACACTGTATGGGGATAGATAATTCCACTAGCAGGATTTTCATTGCTCGATGTAATTTCAGTTGTAGGGTAACAGTGATTAGCCACCTCGTGTCTTTACTGCTAAAGAAAAGTAAACATTCCGAGCATGTAAAAGTGAAAGCATTGAAAAGTTATATTTGCCATTACGAATATTGTTGCCTAGGAGGAATTTCATGTTCAGATGCTTTATAGTGATGCCTTTGTTATGTTTTCTCATTGCAGCTGGTTCTGGTCTG